GAGATGACCTCTACAGAAACAGTAGATGCGTATTTCACTCGTCTTATTGATATGGTGAATAAGATGAGGCTATATGGAGATATGATTGAAGATGGTGCAGTGGTTGAAAAAGTTCTTCGAACTATGCCGATGAAGTATGACCATGTGGTGGCTTCGATCACAGAGTCACACAAAACCGAGCTCTTATCAATTGCAGAGCTGAAAGGTATGGTAGAAAGTCATATTGACAGGATTGCATCAAAATCGGAACCACTAGCAGAGAAGCTTTGAAGAGTCAAGTCACCCTTAATGTGACTGGCACTAATCAAAGAGGTGGAGGATCTGGTAGAGGTCGTGGAAGAGGAAGAGAAGGTTCTAGTGGAAGAGGTCGTGGTAACTTCAACCAAGGAGGAGGACGTGGTAACTCCAACCAAGGAAGAGGTGGATGTAATACCAAACAAGGTAAATTTCCATTTCATTGCTACAATTGTGGCAAGTATGGACACAAGATTGCAGATTGTTGGTATAATGAGGACAACAATCGTGGAAATCAAGCAAACATTGCTGAAAAGTCTGGTGAGAATTCTGAAACCTTACTTTTAGCCAGTGATAGTTTTTCTGCTGATAAGAACATATGGTTCTTGGATACTGGGTGTAGTAACCATATGTGTGGGAAGAAATAATTGTTTTCCGAACTAGATGAATCAGTCCGGTCTGAAGTAACGTTTGGCAATAAGTCAAAGGTGCCAATTTTGGGAAAAGGTAAAATCTCTATTCAGTTGAAGGATGGTACTCACAATTTTATATCCGATGTGTTCTATGTTCCTGAACTACACCAAAATTTGTGAGTTTGGGTCAGTTGTCAGAAAAATGATATAAGATACATATTGCTCAGGGGTGTTGTACCATTGAAGATGCTAAAGGAGTTTTGATTGCAAAGGTAAATATGTCCCAAAATCGTCTATTTCCTTTGAAAATTAAGCATACTCTCCTTGATTGCTTTAATTCTGAAGTTTGTGATGATAATTGGCTATGGCATATGCGGTTTGGGCATTTCCATTTCTCTGGGATAAACTATCTTGCGAGAAAGGAACTTGTTTCTGATTTACCTGTTGTGAATGTCTCTGATCGTATATGTGAGATTTGTGTGATTGGGAAGAAGCATATAGATCCCTTTCCCGTGGGCAAGTCAAGGAGAGCTACAAAACAGTTGGAGATTGTTCACTCAGACCTGTGTTCGTTGGAGGTTCCCTCACATGGAGGTTGTAAGTACTTTATTACTTTCATGGATGATTTCAGTAGGAAAACATGGGTTTACTTTCTGAAGCAAAAGTCTGAAGCATGTGATGTTTTCAAACAATTTAAGGCTTTTGTTGAAAAGCAGAGTGGTTATGAAATTAAAATCTTGAGAACTGATAGAGGTACAGAATATATTGCTTGTGATGATTTTCTGAAGAAGAAGGGTATTCAACATCAGATGACAGCTAGATACACTCCACAAAAAAATGGAGTGGCTGAGAGGAAGAATAGGTCTATCATGGATATGGTAAGGTGCATGTTGAAATCCAAGAATCTGCCTAAGCCTTTTTGGGCAGAAACTGTTGCTTGTGCTGTCTATGTGTTGAATAGGTGTCCAACTAAGAGTGTCCGGGATAAGACACCCGAAGAAGCATGGAGTGGGAGAAAACCCTCTATCAAATATCTCAAGGTTTTTGGATGTTTGGCATATGCACATGTGCCGGATCCATTGCGAAAGAAGTTGGATGATAAAGGTGAGAAATGCATATTCATTGGTTATAGTGACGTTTCAAAGGCTTATAAACTATACAATCCTGAAACTAAAAGGGTTGTTATAAGTCGTGATGTCACTTTTGATGAATATGGTGCTTGGGATTGGTTAGCTAAAGATGAAAGTTCAGTTGTTATTCCTGCTGTTGAAAATATTGTTGAAGAGCAACCGATTCCAGATAATGTCCAGTCTCCTTCACAGCCAGAGTCGTCAGTTCGGCGATCTCAGCGCGAGCGCCACTTACCAGCTCGCTTGCAAGATTATGTGTTGGGTCATGATAATGACCTTTCTGATGAAGAGATTGTTCAATTTGCTCTCTTTGCAGATTGTGATCCTTTAACTTTTGAGGAGGTTGCTACAGAAACTCATTGGCTTAAGGCAATGGATGAAGAGATACGCGCCATTGAAAAGAATGGTACCTGGGAGTTAACAGATTTACCTCCTAGGAAGAAGCCAATTGGAGTCAAGTGGGTTTACAAAATGAAATACAAGTCAGTATATCCAACTTGAAGACGGAGACATTTTTTCAAATTGAAGAAGGAAATTGGGATGACCAATATATCCAACTTGGTTTAAAGGAGGCAATGTTATAATAATATTATTATTAATATTATTAGTAATTAAACCAAGTCAAAGAATTTAATGAAAATAAACATGGGCGAGTCATGTATGTTAATGTGGAACATGCCTAGATTATAGGAGTAGTACATGGAGCATTAGCTTCCTATTTATTAGCTTTCTCTTAGTATAAATATGTGGTGTATTTTCATTTGTTAAATCATCCCAGTTAATAAACATTATTCATTCTAATCTTTCTCTCTCTCTTCCTATTTATATATTATTATATATAAATACATAGATATATTATATATAATATATATATTATATTTAATATATCTTACAGAAATTGATTCTCAAAATAAATTTATTTGAGTTGGAAAGGTTTGAAAGAAGCACTTGTCCCATATTAGTTTGGGCACTATTATATATACAATACCCTTTTAAAGGAAAAGTTTGAATTGTATAGCTTAGAGATCCTTCTTTGCTTGCAAATCAAATCCAAAATGAGCCTGAAAACTTTTTTTTTTTTAGTGTTACTAACTCTGTTCTTTCAGACTTTTTTTTTAGTGCTACGACTCTATTACAATGTAATAGTACAAAGAGTCAATACCGCAACCTCCTATATGAGGGTGTAATTTGGTGCCACTAGACCATAAATTCTTGGCTTGTTTGATAAACTCATTTACATTTACTACACATTCTTAAATAGTAAATGCATGCTACACAACATTTGAGAAAAGTACTACTCTGTATAATCATCAAGGAAAAGATTTGAGTGAATTGCGGGAAAGGCAGGACACGATCACTGTTTTGCCCACTGAATTATTAGTTTTGAAACCTTGTGCCTAATTTTATATTGTGATAGATACATGCATTCGATTATTAAATTAAATTTAAGACAAATAACCAGGGTCCAGGGGTGGATCCAAAGGGCAATGAGGTATAGTTGTCCTCTCCAACCCACCCTTTATATATGTGTATATAAAGAAAATGTTTTAATAGAAATTGTACAAGTAAATAACATATTATTATTATAATATATATAAATTATTGAACATTAAGGTAACTCTAATATATGTATTGTTCTTAAAAATTTAGGGTTCAAAACTTGTTAATTGCACCCATTTTTTATTACTATGCCCTTTAATTATATTTTTATTTGTGATATGATTATATTTCATATCTAATTTTATGAATATTTTTATTAAGTTTTAAAGTCTTATGATTTTTTATCACAATTGTCAATTAACAATATTTCTAGCTCCATTACGAAAATACGGAGTAATAATTAGTCCCATTATCATTCTTTATGAAAAATGTTAACAAATATTGTTAAAAAACTTGTTCTTTGAACAAGTGGTTGAAATTACTTTTATATATGACTTGACCAACTTGTTAATTTACATTAACAAGTTGAAAAATTATACTATTTCAATCAATCCTTTAGACATATCAAATCATACACAATTATTGGATAGGAAATTAACCCATTCGAATTGCCTTGGTAAAAAAGGGTAAAGTATTAATACGGAGTAGTTCTGTAGTTCGCAATGCTTTTTCGAATATGTATGTGGATTTCTTAATCCTTCAGGGGCCGTTTGGTTCACGGAATGTTAGATTACCTTAGGGAATGTAAGATTACCTTAGGGAATGTTAGATTGCTGGGAATATTAGATTACTGGGAATGTTAGATTCCTGTGTTTGGTTAAAATTGAGGTATGTAATATAATCATGTTTGGTTTAGGGTTATCTTATATATATAGTATCCTTAACATATTTTCATATATTTTAATAACTTTAATAATTAAATTAAATAAATAAGATAACGGTATCATGTATAATTACATGATTTTGAAATATTAACTAAAATCTTGAACTTGAAACTAACATAACGTAATAAAAAATATATAATATAATTACAATAATAATAATAATAATAATAATAATAATAATAATATTATTAATAATAATATTAATAAGCTAACATAAAATATATATCTTTAAATAATTAGAATTAAAATGACAAAATTCATAAATATGCAAAGTTATCTTACATTACCTAACAAAATGAAGGGAATCACATTCCCTTCAAAATCCTATGTGGAGGGAATGTTACATTCCCTGGGAATGTTATATTCCCTCAGAGAAAATGAACCAAACATAGGAATGTAAGCTCGGGAATGTCACATTCCCTTGGTTATATAATATAACCTGAACCAAACGCCCCCTCACTGTTTTGGTTTTCATCTTAATTTATGAATAAAGTGATAATAAGCCCTCGGGACAATTGTTTAGTAGATGAGTTGTTGTACACTTGTACTTGAAATTTTCTTTCAATAATATAATACGATTTGATCTCCACCATAGATATGAGCTCTATCAATTTAGTTTAGATTTGAGGTTGAGCTTTGGAATTTTTAGCATAAAATAATAAAAAGTGATACAAATATATGTGAGGTCTACTTTTGATTTGAATCGGGTTAAAACTAAATTGAATTGAATTTTGATGAAAATAATTAGTTCATTAAAAAGTAAATACAAATTGAAATTATTATTTGAGTAATTAGCCTATTTAGTAAACTCCACTACTGTGTAAAAATCCGTAAATCACATAAAAGAGATAAACTTTAATAGGTAGACCACAGGATAGACTTGACCAAGAAAGTATTGACAAGAATCGAACTCATAATCTTTAGACACAAGAATCATAACACCTACTTAGCCACCCCTTTCAAGTCACCCATGAATGATAGATGAATCAAATGGCACCTTAGTTTTGAGTTGCATATATTTGCAACAAAAAATACATTTATTCATAGATTCAACAAATCCATCCATATTTCGAAGTAAAAACAAGAAAGAAATTCTTCCTCATCAGTCAAGAACCAATCCAGTTGGGGTTCAGCCATAATTGAGGCGAAAAACGTCATTCTGCACGAAGAAACTTCCTTCTGCAGTAGGAATCAAGTGAAACATCTGCAACACAGAACAATCCATTACAATTTACGGTTGTGTTCTATAGCTATAGTACACCATACAAGTGGTTAAATCATGGAAGAAGAAAGGTATGTAGTAATGGACCTGGCTAAACCTGAGCGGATGCTCTTCTCCTGGCAATAGAAGGCTGCCACTCACAAAGATGATGATTCCGCCATCAAGGGATGATGGTTGAGAGTCGACGGTGCTAACCACATGGCGGCATTGCCCAAATGGCAAGGCGTTAAGCTTGGCACAGATGTCTTCCCCGCCCTGCAACTTCTGGCCCTCAAATGTTAGCATTGAGTTGGGTTGATAGAGGGAGCGAAGAGAGGGGCGGTCATTGTCGAAGAGATGGTAATAATGATCCACAAATGATCTCCCAACAACTTCAATTTGCTCTCCCATTCTCTGTTCTCAACAAACAACAAAGAAAAGCAAGGCAACAGAAGTAGGAAATGATTAACGGTTATCAAGAAAAAGAATCATAGTATGTATATATATATAGGCAATGTAAAGGGTATCTAGTCTGCTGCATGGGTAAGCAATTTAAAGTTGTGACAGAGGCATAACAAGTGCTTCTGTAGAAAAAGAAAAGAAAAAAAAAAGCTGTGAAATCTGTTTGAAGCAAACCAACCCTTCAAGCTTTCTGGCCGACCACCAGCACTTCTTTTACTTTTGTGCATATAATAAACAAAACCTGATTCAGAGATCCTACGCAAGCATGTTGCATGACTTTGAAAAAGGGTCATATATATCCCAGAGAGGATGGTTTAACTTCCATGGAGACAGGTTTGAGTCAGACCAGAATATATTCTTTCCTGGCCAAAAGCTCCATCATTTCACAAAATAAAAACTCCTGGCTCCTCAACACTAGTACGCATAGCTAAGTAATACTCCGTAATAAAGAGGAGAAAGAACCTTCAAGTCTGGGAAATCAAATGGATAAGAGATGGAGTTGGATTGCATAACATAGACCATATCTGTCCAATAAAAAAGGCTATATTCTTTGTAAAAAAACCTTTTGCCATCTACATAGTGTATCTGCACGGATTCTAATCAAATGCAACGATTTCCACAGAATGATACTCCATAATTATAAAGTAGGGCTGGATGCATAATAGTATCAGAGCAATGCCAGCATTATATTCATCTGTTCAAGGCAGAGATATGTAGCAATGCTGACATCAAATAGTCAATCAAATGCAGTTAAGGCAATCACAAGCTGGAATGAAATTGTTGTGGTTTCTTTAACCACATGCTATGTCCCCTTTATATCAAGGCAAATGAAAATGAACTAACTAATAAAGTTAAATCACTTAAATCTCAAGAATAGACACATCATTAGTAACTAGATTTGAGGACTCCATGGGTATCACTTCACCGAAGCAATAAGGTCTATAGACCTCACAATGCAGCCACGACCTGCAATGGGGCTTGGGAATAAAAAGTTCAAGATCTCTTACATGGAACATTAATTACATATACAAGAAAATTTCCCTGAAAGGGTTCTACACTTGGAAACAATACAACTCAAATAGCAGAATATCTGGCAAAAACCAGAATAGCATAGCCAGGTGATCCACACAGTGGATCTTTGACAACAACTTATTGTTGCAGAATTATAAAACCATTTACATGTAAATCTACTTCAGTCAACTATTTACGGGGAAAAGCTAATGAAGGAGAGAATTATAGAGCTGTTTAGACATCAATCTGCTTAAGTCAACTATGTATGACACTGATCTTAGAGAAAAATATTTCTTGGCATTCAATTGTTTATTTTTGCTGAAGTATAATAAGCAGATGACTTGAGTAATGTTTGAGGGCTATTCAAACCAGTTTAGTTGCCCTTCAAGGCAAAGAATCACAGTGGATGCATATCAATACTGTCAAGATTCTAAATTAATCTTCAAAGAAAACTTTGAATGGAAGTTGGTTAGAATATAATGAAAGGGATCAAGTCTGAGACACTTGGAAGAATCAAACAAGGCCAAATCTGCAAGGCACATAGAGGTTATGTCGTCTAGGAAAGAGATTCTGTATGTCAAATAGGTTTATTATATTCTATTAAATGGAATAAGCTAATGGTATGCACATCCATACATGTACTTGTGATATCTCCTAAAACCAGAGGAAACGTTACTTAAGTGGTTTTAGTTTCCAAGTGATTTCACATGATTACCATGTTTAGAGATTACACCAACCTTGCAAGAGCTTCTAATGATGGAGGAAACCCTGATGTTAAGTAGTTCAGGTTCAAAGGACTACATTAAGGAATCAACAGGAAGCAGAACTCTTAGTACAATAGCTAAGAGGATGTCAAGGTCAGGTTTTCTAAACAGTTCTTTGAAAAGCAACAAAACTCTTATGTACTAAAATCTTTTCCACGAAAATGCAACCAAATGCTTTTATGATGATGATACTATGCATATTTTCCTTCATAAGTATGCCATGAGAACTGAGAAGTATACTCCAACAGGCATTTTATGAAATCAATGACCAGGCAGATAAGATCACCAGCTACAGAAATTGGATATCACTTAAACTGTTAAGCATCATCTCTAATACAAAGTTGACACCTGTTCAAACATATAGTTACTTGCTCAAAGAACATGTAGAGCACAAAGAAGATTCAGAGAAAAAAATAAAAAAGCATTGCCATGAAATAGGGAGCTGCAGGATCAGTCAACTTTAAGAAGCTAGAACAAGAAGTTGCCCACATACATAATAAGCAGTGCATATTAGGCATACAATCCATTTTCAAAAGTACAACTAGCATATAAATGCTTTAATACAACGTGTAGTCCATACAAGTGAGAGGAATCTGGAAATTTTAGTTAATAATATTGTTTCAACAATACCATCGGACACAGAGTAAGCTAGTACAAAATTCATACCTACTAAAATCAGGCTAACTCAGTGAACCACGAATATAGATCATCACTTCACATCCAACTGGAAGGCCAGTAAGCATGTATCCCATAACCAGTCTTCCAATTATCCAAGGAAATCACCTTCTTGACAGCCCAGAATGAAACAAAGAGTGCGAAAGCCATGACTGACATCTGTGCACTCCTGCTCTTCACCCGAACCAGAACATGAGTCATAAAGGCTAACAACACTCCAACAATGGTATACAAGAACCCGATAGAGAATCCCTCAGCTCCCAGCTGCATTCCAGACCCTTGGTAAAAGAAGACCAACTTCCCAGGATCATTCTTATCAGCCAAAAACATAGGCATTTTCCTAATAATATTATGCATTACCCCTCCGACACTGAAAAAGTAGACGAATATCGCCCCAGCCATCCAAACATACTTATCGTGCAAAAGAGTATGACCAGTAAGAATCTTTTTTATTAAAAACGGACTCCATATCAGTAAAATGACCGCTATAAACATCATCTGCTTCTTAGAAACAACGGGCGGGCGATGAATCGGCCCGACCTCGAGCTTTGTTTTCGTTTCCACGAACTCCGCCATCGACTCCGCCATTCGGGAAAAATCCGAGGCGTCCATTTGAATTGAATCCTTCTTCAGGTCAGTAGCTGAAGGTGGGACAACACGAATGTGGGGCAAAGAATTGACTCCAAATTGCGAGAAAGTCTGCTGGGATTCCTGAAATTCAATGTTGAAGAAGAAGAGCTTGCTGTTGATCTTTGAATCGGGGTTGTTTGTGAGGAACGAGGATGCCAGGAGAGCGAACTCAGTCTTCAGGGCGGGCAAGGAGAGCTCCGTTTTCGAGTGGAGCTGCTGGGCGTCGAAGAAGATGAGGATAGAAAAGGGGCGAGGAGCAGGGACGGACTTGATGCGCTTCATGAGCGAGTCGGTAAGGTGAATTACGCCGGTGGGGGACTGCGATCGGAGGCGGGTCAACTCCGATACGGCATCGTTCGGAGACAGAGAATGGTTGGCTGAAACAAGGAGGAGTAGGAGGGCGGCAAGGAGAAGGAGCGTCGGAGTTGAAGAGATCGCCATTGTTCTCTTCAATTCTGAGGGTTTGCAATTGCAGGAGGAACAGAGGGGAGAGTTGAAAGGGGAAGACCGAGACTTTTAGGTCTTCCGGGTCATCGGGTTGGACTAGACTCGGATCGGGCATTCTATGTGATGTGGAGATTATGAGACTGTCCAGTAGTAAAGCGACACTTCATCATCAGATACAAGAATTGGGCCCTCCTACTTTCTTTCCATTTTCTTTTTGGGTCTTTAAAAAAAAAACCATAAAGCTTATTATTATCCTAAATTAATTTTCCATCAACCATTGGGTGATTTGGGTCCATTATTTTTCTTTTGATTTTTTAAGATGAATGAATGCAACATTTAGCATTGCATATAAGAACTAAGATTTTTTGGGTCTTTGGATTATTGTACGCCATTTTTTTTTTAAATAAAGGTAGATAATGCATAATCGAGTGGAAAGCCAAATTATGAATACAATGACGAGTGGAAAGCCAAATTCTTCACTCAAGTCATAGAGTGAGCAAATCGTGTCGTGGACTATCAATGTTAGTATTAACTTCATCACTTTCAAGTTTCAAGAACAATAAATCTTTCTATCTCATCTTGGAAATTTTCATATGTTTTTGGAAATTCCACATAAATTTTGAAAATACTCTCTATCTTAGTTTGAAAATCTTCATATGTGTTTGTCGTGTTTGGATATTACACCTCGATTTTGGTAATAATCTCTATAGTATTTTAGAAAAATCTCTATAGTATTTTAGAAATCTGCATATGTTTTCGAAATTACACCTAAATTTTAGAAATACTCTCTATCTTGTTTTAGTAATTTTCATATGATAGTATTAAATGTAAATTGCACCTAATTTTGTGAAAACTTTTATATGTTTTTTTAATTTCATATTACCTCCTTTGAGGATATATATAAAGCTACATGAACCAAAGATCTCACTTGTTATGTCAAATGACATCCCTCATCTAAAAATAATATTTATAAAACATCATAGCAGCTTTGCAAATAATATTTATCCCTCTATCTCGAATTTTGAAAATCCTAATTTCACCAGAATACTAGGATTCTTGGTATTGGCATGGAGATCCCAAAAGTTGTTATCCGTGAAGAGTGGCTATAGAACCATTGTTGGAAATTATGTTGGTAAAGTGGGCTCTTTTGATAAGTGGAATAAGTTGTGGTGCCTAAAAATTCCTCTAAAATGGAAAACCTTTCTATGGAGAGCTTTGAGTGATATTCTCTCTACCACTAAGAATTTACTTATAAGAGGGTGGAAGTTGATCCTTTGTGTGCCATGTGTGGTATCAATCAAGAAGACACTATACATTCTTTGGTATTGTGTGATTTTGCTAATTCCGTATGGCGCGAATCCAACCTTCCAATCCCCAACATCTTGACAAATGTTTTTCACACTTGGTTTGAAGAGGTTTTGAATATTCTAGACTCTAATCAAATGATTTCCACAGTTGCAATCTTATACAATATTTGGAGAGCTTGAAACGGGACGGTGCGAGAGCATTTCTTGCCAACGCCGAGGAGGTAGCTTCGTCCGCCGCCGCCGTGCATGCTTGGTGTAGCGTCCAGCCGAACGCCAGCCGTCAACCTCCCCCGGTTCAGGCCGCCATCACCCGCTGCTGCACCGGTGCGAAGATACTGGTTCGACGCCGGTTATAAACCCATGCCAAATTGTGCCATGGTCAGAGTTGTGCTATTTAGCGACGATAGAGGCTATATTGCGGCCTTCAACACCAAGCTGCCGAACTGGTTTTCTCTACTAATGGCCGAGGCTCTTGCGTGCAAAGGAGCCTTATCCTGGCTAAGGGGACGGGGATAACATAGGGTGGAACTTCACACAGACTGCTTGACTCTCTCGCATTACTTGTCCTCGAGCGGAGGTCCTTTGCGTTCTTAGGTCAACTATGCTATTAATGGTTGCAGAACTTATAGTGCTTCTTTTACTTATTGCTCCTTTAAGTTTATTCCTAGATCAGCTAATTTAATAGTTCATACACTTGTTTCTTTAACTTTTGCTCAGAATATTATTATGTACTGGCATCCTATCCCTCTCGACATAGTGTATACTGAGTAACTATTTGTGTCACATCCATTGATTCGCCTCCATCACCGCCTCCAAGATAGAAGCAATAAGGGGCCATTAAGCTTAGTACCGCTGAAATTACACAAATATTTGCAACTTTTTAAGAAATCATAAACAACATAAACAGCCAAGTGGCCAACCATGCATATCCATTCGATCTAAATCTCAATCAACCTCAGCTCTCCAATTAAAAAGAGAACCTACAAGGCTTCATGTCCCCTTCATTCCTAACAATTTTATTATTATTGTTCATACAATTTCGATGATCTAAAGTCTTAAGCATCAGCAATTTCTTCATTCTCGGCGGAGGCAAGGATGAGCTCCGGCGCTGCAACTTCGCTTGCACTCCCATCCAACGCATTTGGTTCACCCAAAGCCTTCAACGCCAAGTGAGCCGCCTTCTGCCCTGATATCATCATCGCCCCAAATGTTGGCCCCTGAAACAAATTCGATCATACCCAGAATTAGAATTAGTGTTTTCATTGATTTTAAGTTCAATAATGAAATGAAATGAATGTTAGTAATTGATGATCACCATTCTTGGAGCTCCATCAATTTCTGCGACTTCCATGCCGGTGACGATCATCCCGGGAACAATCTCCCTGGTGAGCCTAACGATTGCGTCTTCGGCGGTGTTCATGTCGAGGGCCTTCATTCCGGGCACGGAATCGATCATTCCGATGCTCTTCAGCCGCTTAACGCCTGTGGCGCCGAACGGTCCGTCGTGGCCGCATGAGCTCACGACAATCTTGGCCTCCATAACGTTGGGATCCATACAAGACTGGGTGTCGTGGTTCATCGACACCAGAGCCCAGTTGGTGACCACTCCGCCCACTCGGCCGTTCTTCACGATCAGATCCTCCGCCGCCACCGCGTTGAACAGCTTCACGTTCGGCCTGGCCAGCAGCTTGCTCATGATGGTGGAGGTGAAGAGCGCCGCGTGTTTGATGACAACGTAGTTGTCTGCCTCCTCGTACTCCACTTCCAGCTCGTCCAGGAACACCTGCGCCGGTTTCCGCACCACCATGGCGGAGAACAGCTGTCCTCCGAGCCACGCGCCACCGCCGGGGCTGACGGACTGTTCAATAATGGCGACGCGGACGTTGGGGTTCTTGCTGATCTCGTAGGCGCAGGAAAGCCCGGCGGAACCAGCTCCGACCACAATAACGTCGGTGTCGGCGTAGGTAATCATGTCCGTCATGTATCTCCGGGTCATTTCACGGGCGACGATGGATTCTTTGATGGGTTGAAACTTGAAGGAATCAAGGCTGTAAGGGGTGTGCGATGCAGATACTGAGAGGTTGTGATGAGAGGAAGCCTTGACGGCCTGAACGCGAGAAGAAACAACGGGCGTTCCATTGAACGATGATTTGGCGGCATCGAAGAAAGATGGTTTGAGTTTAGAGGAGAGGGAGGAGGTGAGAGTAGCGGCGGCCATGGATGGTGGCTATGAAGATATGATAGATGATAATGTTATCTGATCAGATAGGGAAGTGGAGAGTGCAGTGAGGATGAAGAGAATGAAGGGAGTATATATTTGG